TGTGCATCACCTTTAGACAGGTTCAAATAAGTATTTTAGTTTTGAAAATGAGAATCAGCATGAAATGGTTTAATTCTGCGAGGGCTTTGGTGGGTTTGCTGTGAATTAACATCGAGCTGGTTATTTAGAAGCCAGCATTAATTCTCCCTGCTATAACCTCGTTTGTCATAAAGAAAAAAACTTAAACATCTAATAGTTTTAATATCTCCTAAGATTTTTTATTTTTTATTTTTTTTTAAGAAAAAAAGGTTAATTCAGGCGTTGTCACAGTAGGAGTTGCACTGTTTGGCTTTCTCAGTCAGTGTTGTCCCCAGAGATTTCTGGTGCCAGAGTGGTTGGGACCCCGTCTCTCTTGATGTAGGATGGTGGTGCAAAAATATCTAATGTAGACTTTTCTCTTGGAAAACAGTCCTGAGAGAATGTCTCAGCCTGTTTGCCAAGAGCAAAAGCCTTTTAATGGAATGGTGTGGGCAGAGCTGTCTTTGCCAACAGTGTGTTTGTTTGGAAATTGCTATTTTGGGCCTGTTTAGCTTCTGAACCTTTTGTAATAACAGAAAGAGGAAGTGAACAGTGAAATCACTTTAATAACATATTTCCTGGTTCAAGTGACTTATCTGTGAGGCCTAGACAGAGGAGATGTCATTTCCTGGATTGTTTATCTTCAGTTTGAGGGGACCATTTGACTGTGTAGTCTTTGGATCCATCTTTTTAATTTGTAGGGCAATCTTAGTGTCAAGTAATGTAAACTGGGCCTTTTAATGAAAATCTAAAGCTTTAAGGAATCACTTTCTGACAAAATGCTAATGTACAAGGCACTTTCATAAAGCATATGCTGATGAGAATTTGAGATCTACCTTAAAAACATGTTTAAGAGCTTAGAAAGCTGTCTTTGAAAGATGCTAATAATGTTTGCTCACAGGCATAAAAATAAACTGATGCTTTTTCTGATCATAATGGTGCTGATACTAATGGCCTCTCTAATGCCAGATGTAGCTGACAAGAATTAGGAGGTTTTCAAATAGTTAGCAAGCAGCTGTGCTCTTCTCAAATTCCTGTTTGTTAAGAGCTTCTTATGAAAACTGTTACCAGAAGTTCATGAAAAGGAGACAGAACTAATAAAAAAAAAAAAAAATAGCTACAAATACAGTTCTCAGTTTTTATAGCCCTCAAAAAAAACAAAAAACAACTTTGGAATTGGAGCGACTTAGGGAATAAACAGTGACATCTGAAATGATTAAGTACAGCTCAGTTTAACTTGGAAGTTATGGTTGCTTTGGACCTTGTAACCCAGTTTCACTAAAACGTCTGTTGCGGTTGATAACTTAATTCTTTTCCCTTACTTTGTGCATAAGATATAAATAGAACACACTTAGCAGTGTTTTGTTTAAGCAACCTTTAAAACAGCTTTGCACGAAAAGCATTAAAATATCAGTTGATCTCCCCTTCTCCTTCCCCCCTTCCTCCTCCCCCACCCCCCCCTCCCCAAAAATATGCCTCATTAATTTGTGATAAAATTGAGTGCTTTTACATCTTTTCCCTTAAAATGCATGCCTAATTGTAAGTGACTATTAAAATTCTGTTTCAATAGCAACGAAAAAAGAATGGCAAAAAACTGACAAATAAGGTAGTTGACTGTGGAGGACAAAATAGAGTAAGAATGTGCTCGGAGCTCTAGAGAACTAGTTTTTCCTATGGAATTTGTGCAGATGGGACCTGTAATTCACCATCAACGTATACTCTAGACCTACTGTGAAACTTTTAATTACTTTAAGGGGTGCTAGAGAGTAACAAAGGCCCTCATTTTGATACTGTAAGTTGCTACTGTAAGCTACAGTCTCATTAATGCTGTTACATTGCAAATATATTAATGGAAATATGAATTTAAGACATATGTATTTAGAGCCATGTGTTGCTGGTTAGAATCAGGACTTCACTGTGCTAGGTAAAATTGTAAAACATGGCCTGCGTGTATTCCATTGTGTCATTCAATGCTGTCCTTTCCTACATGTTGCGAGGCGAAGAGGTGTGTTTCTGCTGACATGCTCTGCTACATCTGCTAGAATGACAAGTCCTTTTTTGGAAGCCGGTGCTTGCTAAATAGAGTTTGGAATTACGTATTCTATCACGTGATTTTTGCAGGAAGTCTTAGCTCAGAGGACTTTCCGTTGGGAATGTCCAGGTCATTGGACAACCCAAGCACTGACTAATCCACAAGTACTTAACAACTTCAGTACTTTGTTTCAGATTTATTGTATCGTCCATAAAAACTTCATCAAATTTAATAATAGGTGCTGAGTTTTCAGTCTGTCTGAAAGGAGAGTATGATGTCCTAGGCCGTCACTCCTTTCTCCTTGATAGGTCTTTCAGGAACGTTTAAAATCAAGACTCAAGTAATGGCTTTAATTAAAGTAATTAACAATTGATACTGTGTATTATTCATTACCTTCTCTTTGGGCTTAGTAACACTATATTTCTTTTCGAAAGGAAGTTCTGCAAAGTGACGTAAAACAATACAAAACAGTTTAAAAGGTGAATCCTTTGCCTGGGGTTATTCCTCCTTGGATGCGTTTCCTCACATGTCCTCTCTGTCCAGTTCTGCAGCCTTTCCTGGCCCCTCTGAATGAGGCCAGCACAGCCCTGTGGTGTGTCAGGCACTCCCCCTAATTTGGTTTGTTTGTTTGTTTTGTTTGCAGGGTGCAGCAGGTGGTTAATGAAGTTGTTAAAAGTTGCTGGCCCCAGTATCGAGCCCCAGGGTATACCGCTAGTGACTGGCCTCCAGCTGGACTTTGGCCATTGATCAGAATCTTCCAGGCCTAGTCTGTCAGCCAGTTTTCAGTCCTCTCACCACCCATTTGTGTAACCTGTGCTTCATCAGCTTGTTTATGAGAACATTGTGGAAGACAATGACAAATGTCTTATTGAAGTTGAGGTAAACAACAACTGTTCTTCTCTCATCCACCAAGCTAGTTGCCTCATTGTAGTGGGCTGTTACCTTTGCCAACATGGTTGCCCCTTCATAAATCCATGCTGACTAATCCTAATCACCTTCTTGTCCTCCACGTGTTTGGAAATGGTTTTCAGGAGGACTCCCATTTGCTGGGAATTAAGGTGAGGTTATCCAGCCTTTAGATCCCAAAATCTTCCTCCTTGCCCTAATTGAAGACAGATATCTTCCATAGTTCAGTAGCCTCTCTTCATTGCCATTACCTTTTCAAAAGCCCCTGCATGGCATTGGCCAGCTCTTTCAGCACTTGCAGGTGCATCCCATCACAGATGTACCTGCGTGAGTCCAGTTTGTTCAGGCATTCCTGTCATGGAGGACTGGGTCTTGGCATTTGGTCCTCACCAAGGGAAAGTCTTCCTGACTCCAGTCTTCCCACTTCCTCTGGTACAAGGTACCTAAGATTCCTGAAGGCTGATCTTACTATCAAAGATTGAAGCAAAGAATGCCTTGAGTGCCTTTGTCTTTTGTTTACCTTTTGTTACCAGCTTGCCCTGCTCTTTTCAGCAGCAGACCCACGTCTTCCGAGTCTTCTGCTGTTTATGTACTTGTGGAACCCTTTCTTGTTGCCTTTTTCAAACTTTTCCAACTCATCTGCAGATCAGCCTTGAGTTTCCTAATGTGGCCTTACACCTTGGAATGTCAGCTTCATCCTCCCAGTATCCTGCCCTTGTTCCTGCCTCATGTACACTTCTATTTGATGTCTGAGTGTAGTTGGGAGTTCCTTACTCATCTGTACAGGCCTCCTGCTTCCTTTGGTTGATTTCCTAATTGTTAAGATGGACCTTTTGTGAGCTTTTGCCTTCAAAGCAACTTGAAGCCTTGAAGTTTTATGTTTCATGCAATATTTTAGTACATCTGCAAGTCTGATTTTCTAGATTTATGTCAAATACAATAAATGAAATTCTCTTGGGAACCTCAAAGGTGATCCTAGTGAGATGCTAATGATATTTTCGTACCAATTTAAGCAGAGGAAAGGCAAGCTTGTAGTCTCCGACCTTTAGTTGTCTGTATAGGAAATCACACAAATATATCTGTCCTGTAATTTCTTGAGCAAGCCTTGTTTTCCATGCATGGTCTGGTGTCTGCTACTGATATTTTCCAAAATACTTCCTTTGCTGGAGGCAGAAATAACTAATTAAAAAAAAAAAAAAGTACTGCAATTCCATCTCTCAATATTGAAAATGTGCTTAAATATGAATGTTTTTTTGTGGTGAAACTGAGAAGTGACATTTCAACAAATGAGGTCATCTTATTTGTATATGTAACATATTTTGTACTGCCCAGCATTCAGAACGTGTTTTATATCTCAGGCCCTGTCTTTAAGTCTATCCCAGTAGATATATTATTAGAATAACTGTATTAATGAGATTTGAACCAGAAGTGATCACTTGCCAGGCATATTTAGAAAACAAAAAAGAGGATTGTTAGCTGTGGCCTTATTTATATGCGTGAGGTACTAAGAAGGCTGAAAGGCTGTTGGCTGCTTATTAATTAATAAACACGACGTCCTCTCTAACTAAAATCTCTGTGCCCTGCTGAGGTTCAAAAACCTTAAAAAACGAGCTCTTTTCTTAGAGCAGTGAACAAGTAATAATGTGGGTAATGCGAATGTCAAGTTTCCAAATACACAGGAAAAATGTAAAGTGTAGAAAAAAAATGAGACAGTTTGATTGAACAGAGAATATTGTCTGTGTTTAAGCAGAAAGAGTACTACTGGTTAAGATTAAAAGTGTTATTCCAGCTTAAGTCTCAGTGCCACTAAGGGATGGTGATGTATCTGTAATGTTTCTAAGCCAACTTGGAGCCAGTCATGGTATTTTAACTGCTTTGGGGTGAATGAGGTATAAATATACTCGAGATCTTGTTTTATCTGCCTACTAGGAATGTAATACCTGTTTGAATAATATATAACCTGTCTCAGCCTGCGACTCTTAGAAAAAGTGATGTAGTAACTACATTAGATTTTAGAACTCAACTTATTTTTATTTGTTTTCAGGATGGCTTGAATTCTTTGGTCCTTGATCTGGATTATCCGGCGCTGAGGAAGAACAAGAACATTGATAATTTCCTAAATAGATGTAAGTTGAAAGTGGCCCTTAAACAATGACAATGTGGTGGTTGCAGTCTTAGGAGCTGAGTGGTTAGAAATGCATCACTGGTGTTCATTTTACTATTTTTCACACCTCTGACTTCGTGTATTCAGAAAGCTTTGAAGGACCACTTATTGCAGAGATGCTTCATTTGAAGGAGTTATATTGTTGAAAACGTGTTGGATAATATTGATTGTAGAATGTAATTTTTGAACTACACTTAAAATAAATTCTTTTATATTATATTTATAATATTAGGAAGAAATTCTTCACTGTAAGGTTGGTGAGACACTGGAACAGGTTGCCCAAAGAGGTTGTGCATACCCCCACTCTGGAGGTATTCAAGGCCAGGCTGGATGGCGCTGTGAGCAACCTGGTCAATAGCAGGGGGGTTGGAACTGGTTGATCTTAAGGGTCCCTTCCAACGCAAAACATTCTATGATTTGATGTATATGTACTTTGAAGTATTTGCAAAACATTTTTCAGTTACTGTGAAGTAAGAATTAATTACACAAAATGTATGAAGTCTTATTTATTCTAAGAGGCATCTTCTGTTGATTTTTAGGACTTAATTATTGTACCTTAAAATCTCTAGTTGCATTTTTGAACCTTTGTGTAAATGCTTGACTTTCTGCAAATTATTTGTAGACAGAATCTTAGTGTTCATTAACCTTGTGCAAATGTAGGACTGTTGCATCAGAGTGACTATATTTTACTCTTCTTAAAGTGTTGTCCATCTTTGTACATAAAATACTGTAGAAATAGTGGATCATTTGCTTTAAAATATAAGTTGCAGCAAGTAAGACATTTTAGGACAACTGTTGTTCAGACTTATTCAGCTGCATATATAAATTACTGTGAATGCCACTTCCCATTTCATTTTTTTCTGTTAAGAATTATGAGCCTGCTCTTCATTGCTCTAGGACTACTTTGAGTATCCTCTTACACTTCTCAAATAAGTGGTCACTGGTATAAAGCCTTGTCATGGTTTTTTTTCATGTGGAGTTGATTGCTTCTCTGTGAAGTTTTGGCTTGACCATTGCCTGTCCATTTGTTGAAATCACTCAAGATAGAGCAAATAAGAAACAGTGGATTGGGAAGTGGAAGCATACCTTGAAGTATTTCTTGGTCCTGAATTCATTTGACCTCAAACAGATATATTTGAATGGAAAAGTTGGGAACTGCTTTTAAAATAATTTTGTTACTTGCATGTATTGTAATGTAATGCGAAGGGAGAAGACCAATTTGCAGCAAATACGAAAATGAAATAAATTACAGAAACTTTTATGGACCACTCAGATCTGCATACTATTTTTGCAGTAGGAGACAATTAGAAACATTTTCTAACTAGAAGATCAGTACTTGTGAAGTATTCAGACAAGCAATTGTGGGAAAACAATTAAACCTTGGATTCTTTTTCCTGCAACCCCTGAGTATTCTTGCTGTCTGCCTTCCATTTCTGATGCCTGCTGCTCCTTCTCCTACTCTAACTTCTCTCTCATTGCTGTGTTAAATATTACTAAGCATCTGATGTGGCATGCAGGCTACCAGCTATGGCAGGAATGCAAAAGTCTTCTTTGGTTCAGTTTTATTACTGCCTTTGTTTTCTAAATCAGCTGATGGTTTATAGTTGAAATAGCCAAATACTAGCTAAAGAGACTTCTGGGCTCTTTTGAAAAAGAATAAAATCTGACAATAGCAGATAGATGAATCCTTTAAAGTCTCAGTAGTTAATTATGTGTTTTAAGAGTTACCCTTTATCCTTACCTATTGTACTTGGGGGAGGGAAAAAAAAAAAAAGAAAAACATACAACAGCAAAGTACTTTGGTCCACACATTGTGAAGCTGTTCATCTCTTCAGAATTTAGCAATGTAACTTCTGTTTCAGTACTGCCTGTGAGGAAATGAAAAGTAGTACTGCATACCATCTGTGATGTACTTCTTGAAAAGTATTTCTGAAGTGAGAATTTTGTAGACTCTTGAAGCTAATAATACGTTGCCAAATTGCAACTGAGTCAGAAGAGTCAGAAACCAGCGCTTTGGCTCAGAGTTCTTTCAGGTGTTTTCTTTTGGTGTGTGTGGTTTATTTGAACCAGACTGGGGAACTGATTAGTATTAATGCAGGCTTGGTTGGTTTGTTGGTTGATTTTTGTTAAAACTAGTCTGGCAAAAGAAGAAGCGACCGGTTTCTGGTCATTCTTTCAGTGTTTGTGCCAGCACAAAGGGTTCAAACAGATTCTTACTATTGTTGTCATTTTACGCAGCTTTGAGTTGAACCCATACCTTATGTCTTTGGAGACAACTAAGAGTAGCCAGTATCAGTGGAAGAGTATACATAGTGGAAGAGAAGAGTATACATGTGTTTTCTGAAGCTTCTTGCAATTGTGGGCCTGGTAGAGGAGCTGGAAATCACATTAATTGATGGAACAGTAAGTTGGCACTGTCTTAGGTTATGGAACAAAGAGTTCTTGTCTCTTCTGATTTTTCTAAGCATCTGAAGAGCTGTAGCAACCCGTAGATGAGCATTCGTGTCAAAAAGATTCTGACAGGTCTCTGGTGAGTGGGCTGTTCTGGGAGTTTGCGCCTCTCCTCGAGGCAGAAATGTGTCCCAAGGGATGCAGAGGGGTACCATGGCCATTTTGTGAGTTTAGAATTTATAGATAAGTATTTTAATTCATGTTACATGAACCTTGAAAAGCTGTGGAAAATGCTAACTAAATTCTTCCACAATAACTGTCTCTTTGTAAAGGGCACTTTTTAAAAACCATTTTCCCAGGGATTAGAAAACACCCTAATTCACACCTACTGCAAGTCATTAGTGGTTGGTTTAATGTTTTATTAATTGATTATATTAATTTAGAAATTAAATAATTTATTTTTCAGCTGAGACATTAATATTCATCTCAACTCATGAAACTCAAGTGTTAACTTTCTTAACAAAGTTAACATTTATTAACTGCATGTACTGTATGAGTTTAGTATATGCTGTTTTGTGACCACTTCACGAAAGAAGCCTCTTCACATGCCTAGTACACAAGGAACTTTTTTGTCACCTGCTTTCCCTTATTATTCTGATTTCTTGCCACATTTTCCAAGATATGGAACCAAAGTAGGACACATACTTACCACATGAGGCACATAAGTACTACCAGTCCCTTTCAGTGTTTCAAATTACTTTAGTTTACTGTTAGGATTCTGGTTGAAGTTTTATGGGCTTTTTTTTGTTTGTTTTTTTTTTCCCCCTCAGTTTTCATGGGACAGGAAAGAACAGCGTAATATCTAATTGCCAAAACAATGAGAGGAATCTCATAGTCCTCTGAGAGCAAGAATTAACTTACTAATTTTAGAAAGGAAAGTTGAGTTTTCCAGCACAGTCTTGGTATAGTAAATCTTTCATGATCTTTTCTTTTCCTCTTCTGTCATCTGCTCTGTGGTAAAAGATTGAATAAATTCCTCCAAGTCCCTTCTCCTGCCATCTGAGATTTGTCAAGTGTTGAATCATGTCTTAGTGGCTTATCCTTTTTTCAGATTGTTTCCCACGCAGGTACTGTGCAGCCCATTAGCTGCTTTAACTTTTGTTATAAGGAAAATTTAAGTAATTAAGCAACCGTTTTAAGCACCAACGAAAACTATTTAGTCGTTGATAATCTGCTGTCAAGAATAGAAGTGAATGAAGAACTGTTTTCAAGGAAGACCAAGCTACACAGGGAACGACTCCATCAATAGGCCTGATACAGTCCAGAAGCCTTGGCTACATAAACTGATCACTGACTTCCTGTGCATTCTCCAGCATTGCTCAAAAATTGAAGACCTCCATCATCTCAGTGACTTGCTAATATTTGGGAGAATGGTGAACTTCCAAGCTGTAATGGCAAAAGCATCTTTACAATAGAAGGAACATCTGCTGCAGACGTGTCGCTTGTCTGCTTGTTCAGCAGGAGCTGAACACCTGAAGAGACTTCCTGGGAAGTTGCTATTACCATTTTCCTTTCCAAGCAAACAGTGCTTACATAGTAGTTGTATTCATTAAGATGAACTTCTTGCAAAATTAACATTTCTAGTTCCTTCCCTTACATTCTGTAATGTCACTTGACAGTACTACATGGTTACAAATGAAAACACATCAGGGTATTACTGCCTTTGATTGTAATTTTCTGTCTTCCATACTTCCTGCCAGTGACACAGGTGGAATGTTCCATACCAAGAGACATCTTAGAAATTTAGATCTTACTTTGAGTTAATGAGCTAATTTGCTCTTTTATTTTCCTTTGGCTTCTTTAAGGCGAATCCTTGGCAGGTCATTGCAGTCATCAGAGCAGGTTTGGCTTCAGTTTGATTTTTATTGTTGTCATTCTGTTAAGCAGGGGCAGCTTCCACTAATGTGCCATGTCTACCCTGATTTTGAACACTGCCATTGATGGGGGCACCCACAAGTTCTCTGGACCTATTTTGGTGTCACCACCCTCATCATAAGTTTCTTCCTTACGGCTAATCTAAATCTATTGTTCAGTTTTAAGCCCTTACCCTTTGTCCTTTCACTACAGGCCTTGGTAAAAAGTCTTTATCCATGTTTCTTATGTTTTCCCTTTATGTATTGAAAGGCTGCTATAAGATCTCCACAGTCGTCTTTTTTCCAGGCTGTACAACCCCAGGTCTCTTAGCCTGTTTTCAAAGGAGAGGAGCTTCTTCCCTTTAATTGTTTTTGTTGCACACCTCTGGGCTGTGAAATATGTATGTCAGCAGTACTAAACACTTTTCCAGTTGGGTATTCAGTGTATATACAGAGCAACTCAGTTGTATTTTCAAGGTTTCATTAGGTTGGGGGTATCTCCTCAGCAAGTTGGAGGACAGCAAGTCAGACTGCTGTTTTCTCTTTCTGTATATCTTGCTCACTTTGGTAGATGAAATCTTGCATCTCCCTTCATTTACTCTGAAGGAGATGTTTGCCCGTCTGAAGCCATGAGTCCTAATTTATACTGCTGCCCGCA